GAGAAACGATAAGGTAGCGGGAGACAGAAAACTGCAATGTTAAAGTGAATAGAGGTAAATGCTGTTAACTGTTTATATATGAAGGGACTGCAGTCATTGTAATGAAGTAGGGTATATGCTCTGTGCATATAAAACTGATGATCTTCTCTGTAAACCTTCACTCAATTCACAATCAACAGTTTTGGTTTTTTTTTCTAAAAAAAATGTATCTTAGACTACCAGAAGAACAAACAAATCTGTCTCAGAAGAAATATAGCCAGAATACTCCTCAGAAGCCAGGATGGATATTTGTCAGGAGGAACCAGTCCCTGGTTAAGGGAATCATGCTTGGTAAACAGAGGGTCTGCAAAAAAAGAGGAAGAACTCCATGGAAATAGGATGACTGGCAAAGTGATAAGAGCATTGGGCTGACGTGTAATACCAATTGTGAGGATGGCACAGAACCGGGTAGTGCTTCGTTCTGTTGTGCCTAGGGTGACTCATTGGTACCAAACAGCATGTATTGCTCCATAGACATTAAAAGAATAATAGCAAGGGGAAACTATGAATAATTTTATGCTCATAATTTAGATATTTTAGAAGAAATGGATCAATTCCCTCCACAACCACCAACTACCATAAATCAGTCAACATGAACAACTAAATTGGCATATAATTATTAATGAAATTTGATTTGTCATTTATAAACTCCTGAAAAGCAGTCTCCAGGCTCAGCTGATTTCAGTGGAGAGTTCCTACAAACATTTAACGAAGATTTAGCACCATTTTACACAATCTCTTCCAGAAAAAGAAGAGTACAGAATAGTTCCCAACTCAATCTTTGAGATGACTACTATGTCATAACTAAATTCAAACCAAGTATGCAAAACAGAAAACTATAGCACAATATACCTCTTGAGTTTAGATGTAGAAATTCTCCACAAAATGCTAGCTAATTTTATCCAGTGTATATGTCAGTTAAAAAATAATAATAATCAAACTCTTTATATCCATAAACACACACTTAAACCTCTATGTATATATATATATATTTATGTGTGTATGCTACTCCTATATGTGCTTAACATTTATATGGGTCTTCTGCTAGTTGCGTGCTCTTCTCTTGTATTAAAGAAGGGCAACACAGGATCTAATTGACTTTGTTACTAGCCTAGTTCAAGTCGCTGTATACAGTTTGAAAAAGCTGTGTTGAAAAGTACATATTCAGTTAGTGAGGCTGTGTATTCAGACTGGTGTTCTCACTATTCACATTTTGCTATATTTCTTGAGAAAGACTAATACCATCTTCTTTGGAGTTTAAGAAGTCCTGTTTGTTTCTTTTTCAGCTCCCCAGTGAAGATCCTGAAATTTTTGAGGTGTCCTCCAAGTGTCTTTCTATACTGGTTCAGTTGTATGGAGGGGAAAACCCAGATAGCCTGTCTCCTGAAAATGCAGAAAGCTTTGCTGAATTACTTACTTCAAAGAAGGACCCCAAGGAGCACAAGCTTCTGTTGAGGATCCTTAAGAGAATGGTGAGTTCAAATAGAAACCAGGGCTGGGCTAGGGGGTTCCCTGGAGTCCAGTGGACAAGGAGCAGTTTCCTTGACATCATTTTAAGCTTCTAGAAAAATCGTAAAAATCGTAAACTCCTGGATACCTTTCATCATAAGCACCTGTTGTTAATATTTCTCATTTTATCTGTCTACTTCCATGAATCGTTTTTCTGAGCCATTGAAAGTAAGGTAGTTATTTTTGCCTCCTTACCTGTTAATACCTAAATGTATTTCCTAAGAAAAAGTGTATTCTCTAAGTGTTGGTATCTAAATTTGGATATTTGATATTGATGCAATTTTACTAAACTGCTGCCCTTTTCCCAGTTCTGTCAACTGTCTTAATACCTTTTTAAAAAATATGTATATATTTACTTTTATTTTGTAGTCATCTGTGAAAAGTGCTTTGAAACCTGTAGAAAGCTGGGCTAGCCACTGTTGGGTCCAAGTTATACAAAATAACACCCAACTAAGGCTCTTACTATCAACACTCAGGGAAGCAGCAGTCAAAAAATCAAACAATGTATTGCATTAGGCAAATCTGCTGCACAATACCTTTTGAAAGTGTTGATGAGCACAGATGTCAGCTTGAGGACTAAGGTGCACCTGACCCAAGCCATGGTATTTTCAGTAACCTCATGTGCATGTAAAAGCTGGTCAGTGAATAAGGAAGACTGTAGAATAATTGATGCTTTTGAGTTATGGTGTTGGAAGAGAATATTGAAAGTGCCATGGGCTGCCAAAAACCCCAACAGATCCTTGTTGGGAGAAGTGCAGCCAGAGTGCTCCTTGGAGGCCAACATGGCCAAACTTAATCTCTCATACTTCAGACATATTGTCAAGAGGGACCAGTCGCTGGAGAAAGGACATTATGTTTGGTAAGGTGGAAGGTCAGAGAAAAAGAGGAAGACCGCCAACGAGATGGATTGGTTAACTTGACAGCATCGATGGACTCAAGTGTGGCAAAGGTAGTGAGGTTGGCCCAGAATCAGGCAGTGTTTCGTTCTGCTATGCATAAGGTCACTATGAGTCGTTACTGAGTCGATGGCACCTAATAACAACAACAAATGATCCTAGGGAGTCCTGGTGTGGCGCTGTGGGCTAATGAGTCAGACTGCAAAGTCGTTTGAACTGCAAGGTTGGTCGTTCAAGTTCACCAGCTGCTGCTTGGAAACTCTGTTACAGGGTCGCTATGGGTCGGAATCAAATTGACTCGAAGGCATGTAACAACAACAAGGATCTTTGGGCCCAGTCAGTTTAGCTGAGACCTTAAAATTGCCAGTTTTGATGTTCAGTTCTGTATAGACTACATTTAGTACATTTGGGAGAGAAATGATGCAGGTTACCCTGAGCGTGTTGTGATGCCAGTGCCCACCCCAGAATGAAAGTCTGCCTTTTGTCTGTCCTTGGGCACCCTTTATTCTGTCCATGGTAGCCATTGTTTCTTACCTGCTGAGTTACGTTGTGTTCTCACCTTCATTTTTGGTCTTCGTAAGCACCTTAGGTCGAACTGAAGGAACCTTAAAACCTTATTTAGTCCACGCTTGAATGCTTCAGGCTCACCATAGTGTCTGCCAAGCATGTGAGGAATGAATTAGATTACGTATACAGATAGAGGAAGGGGACTTGAGAGATACAGAGAACATGAGTGAAGATTTCCTCTGACTGTAAGGAAACTGACATCTCAGATTCATTTCACTAGGCCAGGGGAGTCAGATTTGGTAGAAAAGCACAGGCCAGTGTTGATTTATTATCTTGTGTCAGTAATTGGATTAAGGAGGCTTGAGCAACACAGCCTTCTAGTTGTAAGAAGCTAAAGAGGGATAGACAGGCTCCCTGGGGATTACTTGAAAGTAAAATTCACTCCCTACCTTCTATAAAAAGCCCATCTCTTCTGTAAAGGTCTTATTGCCATTAATAATATTTTCTCCCAACTTTTTATTGCCAGAAGTTTCAAAACTCCAGAAAAGTTTCAAGAAAGAACAGTACACTAGCTGCCTGTAAAATAAAAAAAAATATGACTTTACCTGTATGGCTTCAGGGAAGGTGACCCTCAAATATACTTGGTCCATAGTTTGTAAGGCCAGGTAATGAGTGTGTTAGTGATTGGTATGCTGTGGTTATTGGAGAGCCATCTATGGGGAAACATGACAGATCCCTCCCAGTAAATCACATGAAAGGCCCTGGATTCTAGGAACTTCTGTTTGAAGTCTCAACCTTATGATAGTAATTTTCTAAAACCACAATTTTCACTTACAAAAAAATAAGGTGTTTAATTTCTGCTAATGGCACTAGGATATGTTTTACCCTTATGGTGTACTTTCTTATTATAGTCTATTTTTAGAACATCCAAAGAATGTTAGGAAACGGAAGGATTTAATTATGTGGTAATTTACCAGGAAGTTTGGAGATTTTATAATTAAGCCTTGTGATCTAGTTTTTCAAAGTGATTAGATACCTCAAGTATCTCCTAAGTTTATCTATCCCTTAAACTTGATCAGTTGGAGTTTTCCCATGGTAATGTTTGTAGGTTAGCTACTTGTTTAATTGTTGTTAAGTGCCGTCAAGTTGGTTTCGATCCATTGCGACCCAGTACAGGGTTTCCGAGGCTATAAATCTTTATGGGAATAGAAAGTCTCATCTTTCTCCCGTGGAGCGGCTGGTAGTTTCGAACTGCTAACCTTAAGGCTCTCAGCCCGATTCGTAACCACTACGCTACCAGAGCTTCTTTGTTTCTTAATTAAAGACAGCTTAGTTCAACGCTCAAAATAATGGCTACACCTGAACCATCACAAACTTTGTGTCTAAAATTAGTATAAACATACACTCCTGACTACTCTATGAAAACAGAGAAGTGATCCCTGGGAGGGTGATGTTACTATACCTACTGACATTACTATCACCCAGTAGTCACCTTTGTGCCCATCCACCTGCTGCAGGGGTGCAATTTATGCATTGCATTTTGTAGATGATTAGTATTAAAGATTAATTAAACGTATCTATCCCGGGTGTGGCACTGTAGGATAAGCACTAGACCACAAGGTCGGTTTGAACTGCATGGTTGGCAGTTTGAACTCACCAGCTGCTCCTTGAAAACCCTATACAGAGTTGTTAATGAGTTGGAACTAACTCAACAACAATTAACAACAACAATCCATAGAGAAAGGAGCCCTAATAGTGTAGTGGATTATGAGATGGACTGCTAACCACAGGATCAGCAGTTTGAATCTACCAGTAACTGCTCCATGGGAGAAAGATGAGGCTTTCTGCTCCTATATAGATTTACGCCCTCGAAAACCCTTTACAGGATTGCTATGAGTCACCATCACCACCACATCTCATAGAGAATCTTGTTCCTGAATGACTTTGAGAAAACCTTATTATCCTCGCCGTCAGCTTCCTTCCAAATTTTCTTACAGGTCCCCTGTGCAAAAAACAAAGGCAACATTTCTTCATGGACAGAGTCTTCGCAGCATTAAAGAAATTGAATGAAACTAAGAATTCTGTAGCTGTTCGCCCCTCCCCCCAAATTTTAATATCAACTTGAATTGCCAATTCAGAGTAGATCTCGTTTCTCTTAAACTACTCTTAAAAACTACTTGTTGAAGTATAACTACTCGTTGAAGTATAACAAAAAAGACAAAATTTTGCTTCTCTCCTTTCTAGTTGCTTTATGTCATGCTAAGACCATCTGCTTTTAACTTTCCTACCCCACCCCCCCCAACAAAGGGGGAAGGATTGATGTACAATCAATGGATTACTTCTGTTTTCATAGAGTTGTCAGTCGTGTATGTTTAAACCAGTTTTAGGCACGGAACTAGTTTGTGATGTTCATGTGTAGTCAATGAGTAAAAAGTGAATATAGGGGCTTCAAAAGGTTTGTGGAAGAATGCCACTATCTTCCAATTCCGTGTTTCCACAGTCTGAAGGCCCACGGCATTTCATTTTAAGGAGTGATAGTTCACAAAAGTTTTTTCCGTAGACTTTTCAGGAGGGGTCTCGCCTTGAATCCACATCACCTATTTGTAGTTATACTTTGTTGTTGTTATTCTAATAAAGAAAATCAGTATCTGGCCTCACATTTTGATTGAACTCTCCCTGGGGAAACGTTCCTGAAAGTTTGAGTAGGAAGCAAATGAGTAGTGGACTAGACACACGACTAGTGCCCATTGCTGTGCTGGTGGTCTGCTGTGCGTGGTCGATAGAGCAGCATTCCATCTTTGGAAACCTTGAGTAAATATGTGGCTTTGTACCATAGGTTACCTAGGGATGTGCATGCAACACAGAAAGAGCTCTCAACATTCATGTTGAATCTCTCATTCTTCCCTAAATGTACTGCCTACCTCTGCTCCCTTTTCTTTTTGAAATAAGCACTGCTGGTTAATGCACCAAACTGCAAAACTATTTGAACTGCAGGGTCGGTGGTTCAAGTTCACCAACTGCTCCTCGGAAAACCTATACAGGGTCGCTCTGGGTTGGAACCAACTCGACAGCACTTAACAACAACAACAACTCATGACTAGTCTGATTACCTTTGTCTTCCTTAGTCTGATCTTTCCAGCTCTGCAGAAGCATAAATGTTCCTTCTGACTGCTTTTTTCAGTGGAATTAGTTTTCCCTGCCCCCTTCTTGAAACTTGGCAAATAAAATTCATTCCCTGTCTTCTCTAAACAGCCTATTTCTTCGTTCAAGGCCCCATTACCACCGATAATAATTTATTCCAGCTTGCTATAGTCAAAAATTTCAAGACTCCAGAACAGTTGAAAGAATAGTACATGGACACCTAGAAACTCAAGAATTATTTTACCATATTCTCTCTATATAACCTCACCCTTTTGCTGAACCTTGGACAAGAGCATTATGACATTTGACCCCTAAGTGCTTCAGCATGTACTCATAGCACTAAGACACTCTCCTGCTTAAATACCATACCATTACTAGACCCAAGGAAATGAACAGTTCTGTAATATCAATATATCCAG